GGGAACTGATGTTCTTAACGTGTGTTTAAACAAGGCCGTTAGTGCGTGATTACATACAGTGTTGGAGAGAAGGCCATTAGAGCGTATTGAAGTCACGGTATCTAGGAGATGGTCGTAGTGCATCTATTAGATACACCTATCGTGGATAATCGAAGGCCCTGAGTGCGCCGTTTGTTCACAACCCGTATAGATAACTACACGATCCGTCATCATTGGTGCTTTCATTGAGAGGTACTGATCGTGTTTTTATCTATCCTATCTTTTTCTTTTTTTTCGGTTTGTCTTTTGGTAAGGGACCGAATTTTTTGTTCTTTTTGGTTCGAAATTTTCGAATTTCTATTCGAATTTTTCATTTATTTTTCGTAAGTCTTAAAAAAAAGGTGTCATCTTGATAGTCCTTTATTTGATTTTTGTTCGGTTATTACCTTTTGTTGAGGGGCCGAATTTCTCTTTGTTTTATTTTTTATTTTGGTTCGAATTTTTTGTTCGAATTTTTTAGAGTAAAAAAAAAATGTTGTTCGAGCCATTAGTTGAGTGGAATCAAGAGGATCTCGAATATCTCAAAGGTTTGGAGAGGGAATTAACCCCTTGGGAGCAAGATTATTTGGAGGAGATGTACGAGAAAAAGGAGGAGTATGAAAGACAACTAAAGATCAGCGAGGAAGAGATCTTGCTCGTGGGCAAAGAGGGTGAAGTGGCGCACATCGACGGCGAGGCCGAAGGAGTCGAAGGGGCCGAGGTCATTGGTGCGATCTTGGTCGTGGATGATGGGTACAAAACATGCGCGCGGGAACAGCGCACGCAACACATCGAGGTCGTGGCCGGAGGATCCGAAGTGCTCACAGTCGGAGAGGATATGTTGGTCGCGGTCGAAGCGGACCATGATGAGGAGGTGTACGCACAGTATGGTGAAGATACGCGTATGGTCGAAGAAGGAGTGCCCGATGTTTGGATGGTCGAGGATAAATCCTTGAGGACAAGGAAAGTCTCGAAGAGGAGGGGAATGATACGGAAGTGGGTTCCGAGCCCCGACGACAAGAAGACCCCAAGAGGCGAGACGACCCGGTGAGGCTGGAAAAAGGGCCAAAACAACGCATGCATGGCCTAAAAGACGGGTACGAGCTCGTATGCGAGGCACTCAAGCACATGAGAAGCGACGCAAACAATGCAGTAGACAAGGGCGCGCGCACGCGCATTGGCGTAGACACGCATGGCGCTTGGAGAATAGGCGAAGTGGCGCGCAGGGGGAGGTTGTCGGGTGGATGGCGCGCGATGGGGGTTGCGGCGGATGGACAGCGAGTGCGAGGGGTGGCTGGGCGAGCGGACCACGCTGGGCGTGCGCAACGTGTGCGGAGGTGGCAGGGACGCGCGGGATGTGGGCAGCAGCGGCGATAGGCGCGCGACAGCGCGCGAGTACGGGGCAAGCGCGGGCGGCCCAATCCTAACAGGCGTAGGAGTGCTGGGCGCTGGTGTACACGCGCAGGCGGGACGCGGCAAAGAGGAAGCGCGCGCGACAGCGCGCGCGTATGAAGACCGTGCGCAAGGCGCCGAGTCCGCCGAGGACTAGGACTCGCGAACGCGCGCGCAAGTGAGGCGGCGTTCAAAGGGGCGGCCGAAGGAATTTTGAGCATATGGAAAAATAGGAGCATTCTAGAATTTCTTGGTGTGCAAGACAAGCATTAGTTATTTGGTAATAGTAGGATTTTATTGCTTTCTAGTGTTAGGATTTCTATTCTTGCAAGATTTAGGAGATCTAGTAGAGTTAGGCTTAGATTTATTTTGCAACTATAAATACCCCATGTACCTCATCATATTTTACAAGTTGAATGAAGTATTGAATTGGTGAGTCAATCTTGAGGGGGAACTGATGTTCTTAACGTGTGTTTAAACAAGGCCGTTAGTGCGTGTTTACATACAGTGTCGGAGAGAAGGCCATTAGAGCGTCTTGAAGTCACGGTATCTAGGCGAAGGTCGTAGTGCGTCTGTTAGATACACCTATCGTGGATAAACGAAGGCCCTGAGTGTGCCGTTTGTTCACAACCCGAACAGATAACTACACGATCCGTCATCACAGGCGACTGGCGCATGAGCGCGCACACTGGCGTGCACGACGACTTTCTGGCGTGCATAAGCACGGCCAGTGGACGGCTGCTGCGGACAGGCTATGCGTGACGCCCCGCGGCATACACGCACGCTGTCCGCCCGTGCTGGCTGACTGCCGGCGCTCTGCTGCCGCTGTGTGCGGGCAGCGCGGCCACGACCGGCCCTTGCCGGCCGTCCGGCGATTTCACTCGACCGATTTAACTTGAAATAACATGATACAACATTAAATGATCATAACAACTTAATCCCCTAAAATTGCACGAGAAAACATGAACATGGTTCGGGTTAATAGTCGTAGCGTGCGCAATAATGCGACCCGACGCTACGGCCAATATGTTTGGCCACTTGACAAAATCTCTCGGCAATTATAACATGATTTAACATAACTTGACATAACACAATCAACTTGACTGAATACACCCAAATTCCTGACCTTTTTGCTCGGTGAACAGAAACGGCCGGTGGCGTGCGCCCGTGCGCCGCCTATGGCATTGAGCCATTTTCTCGACCGAACCTGAATTTCTCCCGACAAACTCAACTCAACTAAATATTAATGACATAACATGATCAAATAAACATGATTTGTTCAGGAGTTGTCAGGTAAAAACGAATATAACTTGATCATGGCTCAAGAGGCATAAACCGAGCCTAACTCATAAATCAAAGGCTATGAGCTGAACATGCTATCCTAAAATGATCTTATTAGCTTGGAAAAATGATGAAAATGAAGTTACCTCCTTGAACTCTTGGCTGGTCGTGAACGTTGCTCGTGATCGCTCGGCGCTC